TGAGCCAAAATCATCACAATTAAAAGAACCAAAGACTTAAACTACTTCAGTCTGTGTGCATTGAATTTATTTAATACACGAGTTTCACAATTTGTTGAATTACTGAAATAAATGAACTTTTCCACGACATTCTAATTTATTGAGATGCACCTGTAGTCTATGTGAAAGTAATGAAAGTACTCCATAACAATAATAATAATAATGATGATGATGTTGTTGTTGGTTGTTGTTATTGCACATTTGACTAGAAGTCTATGTGAAAGTGAAAATGTAAAATAATGTTTATAATAATAATAATTATATTATTATAATTATTTTTATTATTATTGCTATTTTTTATTATTTGTTTGTAAAATACATTTAACTAGAAGTCTATGTGAAAGTACTGAAAGTACTCCATTTACAGTATAATAATAAAAATATGAAGAAGAAGAAGAATTTTAATATTCCCTGACAAAAATATTTGAGTGCAGTGATGATGATGATGACGGTGGCTATACATTTGATTCTCATAGTTCCCCTTCTGGCGATGAGGGGATGGACCAGACTCATGAACACAAGATGAGTTTTGAGGGGGCAGAGTGTAGACCAGGTGAGACTGAAAAACACTGACACTCTAGAATATGCCTCAAAATATCACAAGACGATTGAATACCTTTACAAAGACTACTTCAAACTGACAGAACAGTGAAGCTGTTATGAATCCGAGGTATAAAGTAACATTCTCTTCTTCTACACATTCTTTACACCAAATACACAAAATAATGTTATTTTTAGCAGCATCATGTGACCCCTTTAACATGATTTAGTCAAGATGGGCACGTTCCTGAAACTTTGTCAATCCTGGAACAATATTCAAATAAACCAATCTAAAATAGCATGACAAACAGATGCATCATTTTCTAAATGTTTATTGATTGTCTGTTGAATCCACTAGCTCCACCCACCTCCCTGCCCCTGCAGGGCCAAGGGGGCGTGGCCTCTCAGAGGAAGAAGCTCTCGGCTCCTCGTATAAGTCTATCGTTGGACCAAAGTGAGGATGACCTGTTCGACACACCAGATGACCTGGACATCAATGTGGATGATCTGGACACACCTGACGAAGCAGATTATACTGACCATGAAATAGACTGGGAAGGTAGGACATAAAAACTTGTAAACAATTGTTTAATATAAAAAAGAGATTTATTATTTATTAAGAGATTTATCAATTTTTTCAGAGCCTCAAGCATCCCAGAGTGATTCTGTTAAAGAAACAGTTGAGCCCATTCCCACATACAGTGCTCAGGAGGAGCGGCAGGATTCCAAACTCTGGAGAACCGTCGTCATTGGAGAGCAAGAACACCGCATCAACATGAAGAGCATTGAACCTTACCAAAAAGTCATATCCCATGGAGGTATGTTAAAGGAATATTTCAAAGAAAATGTAAAATCATTTTTTGGGTTAAATGTAAAGTAAAGAGACTGGTTCACACAGAGACTCTTTTCTTATTGTGCAAAGACATGCGGAGAAATGCATGTATTTTCCTACAATGGAAGTTTATGGGGCAACTACAATGGAGTATTTGTGAAGCTCCTATGTTGTTGAGGGACTTACATGGACCTTTAAATAAAATGTTTGATATTTGAGCTGTAATGCCTTAACCATCCACTTGCGGATTGTTTGCACAGAAAAGATTGGTAGGTGATTTGGTTACACTTTATTTTACAGTATGTGTACTTAGCCAAGAAAGTACTGGCTAGTACATAGTACCTATATGCGTTAAGTTTAGGTTTAGGGGTAGGTTCATGGTTAGTTATTACCTAGTCAGGATCCTAGTTATTACCCAGTTATTGCAATCGCTACATAGTATGTACACGCAGAACAGGACTGAAAAATAAAGTGCTTCCAGCGATTCTATCAAATCAGTATTACATTAACGTGTAATGTTTAAAGGTTATGGTTAAGGGCTTATACTTTCAGCATTTGCATTTATTTGTGGTCCTGTACACGTGCCCGAAATGTTTTCATTGGAAGCATTATTGTGGTTGTGTGGTTTTAGCACGTCAGCATACTTTGAAAAAGAGTACTTATTACATAAATACTACATACTTAAAGGTGCAATAGGAGATCTTGGAAAATGCTAACTTTAGCCTGATAGCACTGAAAGCGAACGTCCCACCCTCCCTGCAATCGCCGTCCAAAGCCACGCCCCCTGAACGCATTTATGCTTACAGACCAGAGACAACATTACCACAATAGGCTACATCAGGTTCCCAATTCCAGCCCATGTTCCGAAGTGAAGTAAACTTCAACGGATTTCCCCTGCTCAGGGAGTAGGGAGCAATGAACACTGTGTAGGGATCATATCGATCGGAACACAGTTCATGCACGTAGCTCACTTCTAACGAGCTGGCGCGAGGACTAGATTAACCGCTGGGCTACATCATGTGTCATTCACCAGTGAGAAATCTTTAAAAGTACTACAATACCAGGAAGGAAGATCGGGTTGTTGATGTTTGCCTGCCATCCTCGCTCTGTCTGCACAGCGTGCGTGAACGCGCTGATGACGTATCCTGTCTGCGAGGAATTGGGTGCGCAGAGGTATGCTAATACATATGTTGACAGGCAGGTAGGAAAGCATATTAAAACGCCCGGACCATACTTAAGTGTGAATTGAACAATGTTTTAAGCCACTTACGTGGATTATTTACAATTAAATTAAACTGTATTATAGTTTCAATTTACAGTGGCATGAGAAAGTTTGGGAACCCCTTGCAGAATCTGTGAAAAAGTGAATAAATTTAACAAAATAAGAGAGATCATACAAAATGCATGTTATTTTCTATTTAGTACTGTCCTGAGTAATATATTTTACATAAAAGATGATTACATATAGTCCACTAGACAAAAAAAAAAAATGGCTGAAATTATTAAAATAACCCCCTTCAAAGGTTTGTGAACCCTTGGTTCTTAATATTGTGTGTGTCACCTGGATGATCCACGACTGTTTGTTTGTTTTGTGATGGTTGTTCATGAGTCTCTTATAAAAGATGTTTACATATAGTCCACAAGACAAAAAAATAGCTGAAATTATTAAAATAACCCCATTCAAAATTTTGGGAACCCTTGGTTCTTAATACTGTGTGTGGTTACCTGGATGATCTACGACTGTTTTCTTGTTTTGTGATGGTTGTTCATGAGTCCCTTGTTTGTTCTGAACAGTTCAACTGAGCCCTGTTCTTCAGAAAAATCCTCCATGTCCTGCAGATTCTTCAGTTTTCCAGCATCTTTTGCATATTTGAACCCTTTCCAGCAGTGACTGTATGATTTTGAGATCCCTCTTTTCACACTGAGGACAACTGAGTGACTCACACACACAAGGAAACACAATGCATTAAGAGAATTGAATTTGAAGATCAAGGTAAATTGTACTTAATTTGTCTTCTGGGAAACATGCAAGTATCTTCTGTTGCTTCCGAAGGGCAGTACAAAATTGATTGAATATTTCAACAATAAACACTTTTTATTTTAGGTACACTTGGGTACAATAAAACAAAACCCCACTATATATTTCAAATGCATACAATGAATAGACAGAATTTTGATGCAAGATGAAAAATTTATGCTGAAAATTGGTCAGAACAATCGCATGCCTTGATCAAACAGGATCAGGTTATTTTATGTTTAAGACAAAACAAACATAAAATCTCACAGCATTAGCTGTAACATGGAGGCTGCAAGCCTATGAACGGTGTAGGAAAACTCGCACTGAAACACACAGCGTCTCCCTGACATGGTTGCTTCAACACTAACTGCGGTTACTGACACCATGCCTTCTTTCTTTGCGTGCACATTTGCGGCGGGATTATGCAAATATTTCCACATAGTGGGGTAGATATGTGGGGGCGTGTTAGAATGAGCCGTTTTAGGGGGGCGTGGCAGAGTCTTAACTTTGATAAAGAATATCTCTTTGGTTTTGAGACTTTAGTCTTTGCAACTTCAGGGATCTTATCTATGCACAATCAGCTTGTAACACTCCAAAGAGAAAGGAAAACTTGAAATCGCATCATATGACCCCTTTAAGAGTGCTTTTTGACCTACTTATTTAGGACTTATGAAATTTTGTATTGCTAAAACTTATTGTTCCCTTATGCTACAGTAAGTCGCTTGATGTATTCCTATTTGTAAGTTGCTTTGGATAAAAGCAACATTTTCTAAATAAATAAATGTGAATATTTCATAATTTTGTAATTTCTGTTGTCTTTGAAATATGGTTAAAGTGTACTGTTTATCATATATTAAAATATACTTTAATATCTATTAAAACACATTACACATTTATAATGGTAATTTAGTACATTTAAAGTTAACTTTTTTAAACATAGCACAGTTATAATACTTGTGCTTTAATATGTTAGTCAACACATCAAAATATGTGTGTTAATAAACAGTCATGAAAGTGTATTCGCTTTAAGTACACCTAAGTGGCATTTTATTCCATTATAATTTACGTGATCCTTTAAATCTGTTTTTTTTTCTTTACCCACAGGGTACTATGGCAATGACGCAAATGCCATCATTGTATTTGCTGCATGCTTCCTCCCTGACAGTGACAGAGAGGACTATCACGAGATCATGGAGAACCTCTTCTTGTGAGTTCAGTCAAACTATTATATGAGGCTTGTTCATCCTGACCTAAAATAGAATAATATTAGCTATACTGAGAACAAATCACTAAATAAATGTGAATTCCTCCTCAGGTATGTTATCAGTACACTAGAGCTCATGGTAGCAGAGGATTACATGATTGTGTACTTGAATGGAGCCACTCCACACCGGAGGATGCCTGGCCTCAACTGGCTCAAGAGATGCTACCAGATGATTGATAGGAGGTGAATATATACCTGCTGAACATGAAATACACAATATATACAGTATATAAAAAAAGAAAAGAAGACTAATGTTGTTGTTTACATTTTTTCAGGCTCAGAAAGAACTTAAAATCTTTCATCATTGTTCACCCATCATGGTTCATTAGGACAGTTCTAGCCATCACGAAACCGTTTATCAGGTATAGTGAAAGGATTGATTGATTGATTGATTTACTTAAAGTGCCCCCATTATGGGTAATGAAAGGTTCATATTTTGGTTTTGGGAGTCCCCAACAACAGGTTGACATGCATGCAAGGTCAAAAAACACTTTCATTGGCTTATAATATGCATTTATTTTTACCTATTTGCTCAATGACTCCCAAACTATTCGTTTATTTTTATTTATTTTTATTTAGTCATTTAGCAGACGCTTTTATCCAAAGCGACTTACAAATGAGGACAACAGAAGCAATCGATTGTAGTATTAAAACAACTAAAAACAGATCCAAAACTAAAAGCTACAACTTTATAAATAAAATTCAGACATAATTTAACTAAAATTTAAATAAATAACAAATACAAATAATACAAATCAAACGACAGTAGTTTATCAGTAATACTAAAAAATAACACTGCCAAACACACATGCTAAAAAACAACAACTTACTTACACATAGTAAGAAATGGTTATAAAAACTGAAACAGAAGTGAAACAAGTAGTAGGAAAGAGGAGAAATAAAAAGCGATACTTATTTACTTATCTTACTCGTTTAACGATTCATTTTTCCAAACCCCTCCTTTGCGTGACGCTAATCTGCGGTGATCGGTACGATTAGTCTCATTTTCATTTCATCATGCCTGTAATGCCTGATAAAGCAGCATTTGTGAGCACAGTGTGTACAGCGTTACCCTGGAAACCGCTATTTTTACCACTCCAAAAGCTGCACCTAGTGGCAAAGAATGAATTTGCATTTTCATTCAGACCAACCCGAAAAGACCAACAAGTGGGCGGGCAATATGCTAATGTTTCATGTTGACATCAACATGAAACGGCTTGGGATTCGTTTTAAAAACGACTCGTTTCAGTGATTCAGAGTCGACTCTTTCTTTTGAGAGACAATAACTTTATACACGGTGCACTTTCAGATTTAAAACTTGCCAGGATGTTTTCATTCACTTAGAGCCGTGTTACACACTGCATGAAAGGTAATTTTCAAAAATCCATAATAGGGGCACTTTAAACAAACAACTACATTTTAAATAAATGTTGTTCTTTTCAACTTTCTGTTTATCAAAGAATCCTAAAAATGTAGCAGTTTATCACAAATATTATGCAGCATAACTGTTTGAAACATTGATAATGTTTCCTGAGCACCAAATTAGCATATGATGTCTGAAGGATCATGTGACACTGGAGTAATAGCTGCTGAAATTCCTTCCCAGGAATAAATTACATTTTAAAATAGTAAAAAGCTCTTTTAAATTGTAATAATATTTTACAGTATTACTGTTTTTGCTGTAATTCCAACCAAATAAATGCAGCCTTGGTGAACATAAGATACTTCTTTGAAAAGCATAAGAAAATCTAACCGATCCCAAACTACTGTATTTTACAGTAGTGTGTTCTATTGCATTCATGGGAAAATTTACACACAAAAAAATCTAATTAAATGCCTATCCGAGGGGAGAAAATTACCTGCGGATGTGTTTGAGAGCGTAGTCCCTCTTTAAGTATTTAATGTTCTCTCTGATGACTGAACATGTTCCATCCTGCTGTGACAGATGGTTTTCCAGCCACTCTACCACCACTTTGTTATTGTCCCATAGATACGCCTGAAAGATCCAATTATCAAACAATTACTTCACATGGGATGAATATCAACTTCATTATAGTCAAGTTTGATGAAGATACATTTGAAGTTAGAGTTAGCTTAATTTAGCTAGCAAAGCTAGACTACAGTGCCCACCAATGTTTTTTTTGTATTATTTATTACAGTATTTATTAATATTTTGAATTAACTTTTATTTGCATATTTTCCGTTTTCATTTAAATTTTAAAATGAATCTTTAATTTTTATTTCAGGTTAAGTTTTAGAAATGTTAATACCAATTAATTTCGGTTAGTTCCAGAGGCAACATATTTCTATTTCATTGCAGCTTCACCAGAAACTACTTTTAATAGTGTTTTACAATAACTGTTGTTTTCTTCTTGGCAAATCAAGAATTGTCTGAGTTTGTGTTACAAATTGTCGACTTCAGAGAAAGAGAGAAAAACAGAAATCTTCAGTTTTTTTGTTTCCCATCATACATGAATTAAGTTTGCTTACTTTTACAGTCCCTTCTGTCTCCACAAACCAGCGGCAAGTGGGCGGGCAATATGCTAATGTTTCATGTTGACGTCAACATGAAACGGCTTGGGATTCGTTTTAAAAACGACTCGTTTCAGTGATTCAGAGTCGACTCTTTCTTTTGAGAGACAATAACTTTATACACGGTGCACTTTCAGATTTAAAACTTGCCAGGATGTTTTCATTCACTTAGAGCCGTGTTACACACTGCATGAAAGGTAATTTTCAAAAATCCATAATAGGGGCACTTTAATATTATTATTATTATTTATTTTTTAAATGTTTAGATTTTATACAGTAAATCACAGTTTAAATGAATAAATAAATGGCTGCTTTGCCTTTTTAATTGATTAAAAATGGAAAATAGTTATTTTTATTTGTAATACTGTTTCACAGTATTATTTTTTTTCTACTGTATATCTGATCAAATAAATGCAGCCTTGGTAAGCAAAAAATTTAATAAATAAATAAAAATAATGGTATTGTAAATGGTAAGTTCATTCTATAATAATAATAACAACAACAACAACAACAAACTAAATAAAATTGATTTATAAATGTTTTCCAGCTCAAAGTTCAGCAGTAAGATCAAGTATGTGAACAGCTTAGCAGAACTGGAGGAGCTCATCCCAATGGAGTACGTCCACATACCCGAGTGCATCATCAGGTGAGCCACACGTTTAACTGACTTATAAATGTATGGCAAACTATTTTAGGCACTGCTCTGTGCAGTACAAGAGTAAACAGAGGAAGCATCAAGGCACTGATCAGCTGCACACATACTGTGAGAGCGAGACGAAGAGGTGCTTATGAGAATCTGTACAGGAGTTGTGACTCAATCATTTAAAACCTGTGAAGACATGTTTCTATGGGAACAGACATTTAAAACACTAGGGTGAACAGCAACGTTAGATGGCTTTACCAGGAGTCCTCAACCTTTTTTGTCTACCAAACCCCTATAATCTAAAATATTTAAGTGAAGTATAAGTAAACATAATTATTGAATTGTATCATTTTTGAATATAAAATCAGAGTAAAGTGTTATTTTTTACTGTTTTTGCTGTTCTACATTTTTAAAATTAAATTTAAAAAATGTTTTTGAGCTAAAATAATGAATAATAAGTTTATCTTTGCCTCTCTAGACTGGATGAGGAGTTGCGGGAAGCAGCAGAGAGCTCTAAGTGAGTATTATAGAAGATGTTTGAGACCTTTGACTCTTTGTTTTTTTTTATGTCATACTACAATACAGTGCTCTGGCTATATGAACATGTTTGTCTTTTTCATTTCTTTATAAAGAATCAACAGCTTTCTCCAAGGAAGTGAGAAACCACAAGAATCAATGTAAGATTTCTTAATCGTGTAGTAAATAGCCATTTCAAGTCAAGCATTATGTTTAAAGTCAACATGAAATCACAACATACCCTTTTTACATGTTCCTCATGCTGCATGATTCATCAGTGCATGTTATTTTTTCCATTCAAAACATTCCTTAAACTCTAATGCTCTGCTGACATCACCAAGAAGTAATGTTGACAATGAAAAAGAATTGTTGACAATAATGCAATAATGTGAGATGCTCTCAGTGATGAACTTGAGCCTCTTTAATACTCAAGGTATATATAGATATACTCACTTGGAAATACATCATAATACAGAAGAAAGATGTGATGTGATTCATGTCGACTTTAAAGTATATTCAAATCATTTTCTGATTTTTAAAAATAATACTAAATGATCACAATATTTTATTAATAATGATTAACTGTTTAAAAATTTGTTTCAGAGCTCAACCCAATGCGAGCAGTTCATAAGAGCCGTTGGCTGTGGGTGCAAGAACAATATGTCTGTAAAGGTTTTGAGTATTTCAAATTGTAATGATTATTGTACACTGATGTGGATGCAATAATCGTATAAAATAAGAGAAAAGGGTATTTTTGTGCTTTGGTATCTCACAGTGCTGGGATGAATAGTGCAGCACCACATATTCTTCAACACAAATCACCTCAAATGTAATAATTCTTCTCACTTAAACCAGCGCATTGCTTGGATCATTCTTTGTCTCCTATCGTCTTGCAAACGTTTCTCTTGTTACTTGAATTATGCATGAGAGGCATTTTAGCAATAATATAATGTAGTACTTTTCCCCTTTAGACTCCTAATTTTCACCGTCAGGTATTTTTTCTAATTGGAGCATGCATAAAGGGCAAAATCCTGTCACTTCAGCTGCTCTGTATTAATATTAGTGCATGCAAGGTTATTCTCAAAGCGTAGCACCCTGTTAGCACTAATGCCAACTCTCTACCCTCTCATGCTAAATTGATGACTTGGGGACACAGAAAATAGAGCACTAGTTAATTATTGCCATTGTCAGAAACAATATGAGTCAGGTTTAAATTTAAACAACATCTCATATCACTTTATATGCATCAGTTCAAAATCAGCAGGGAGAAATCATTTGTAGTTCTTAAATGTCAAGTGTGTTATGCTAAAATGCTTCCTCTATTACTTTAAGCCCAGGTTGACTTCCTGAACAAAGTAGCATAAAGACTTTTGTGGCTCTTTTAAAACATTTGTGCAGTTAAATATTCTTTCAAACATTAGTGGATATTGCCTCAACAGGTGGCTTGAGAACATTTGTGAAACCCAGTGCTTGCTACTATAAACTGCTATAGAGTGCAACCTCGGTTATGGAAGTAATTCATCCACTTGTTTTTCCTGTAGGGATTATTAACGAGACATAAGCTATGAACCAAACCAACAAGCTACAAGGCTAATTACGACATTACAAAATTAGATTTGAAGCTAAAAATCTCATGAAGTATTGCGAATGACAGAATCTAATTAACACAGAGGAAAAAAAGATTCAAAGATGTTGATATAGTATATATAATCATAGATAAAGTAGTTTTCCACTAGGAATTTCACTGTTAAACATAATTAAAACATTTTGAGAAAAAAGTCGAAACAATGAATTATAGCTTTAACAAAAGCATATACTGCATTGATCAACAACCTTGTACCTCACAGTAGGTCTATCTTTAATGGTTTATAAGTTTTTAAGGTATTTTATAAGTTATTATAAATCAATTCTTTAATGGAGAAAATGAATGATTTTTATTCCGAAACCCAAATGTTGCATATATTATTCAAAGGGGATTTCAAAACCACTAACTCTAAATATTATCAGTGGGTTTGAATAAAACCTCAACTCGCGTGACTTTTGTGGAGAGGTGTGCTATTACTTTTCCAAGCAATCAGACTTGTATCAAAACTACCCCCCTGATCATTCATATGAACAATTCTCTTTGGAGCCACTAGGGGCGCTGGAATGACACACTTCACCTTTAAGAATCAAGCCATAGTGATGCATTAATTGTTCTTGTGCTCACAACACTAAAATCAGTCCTAGATGTTTCAGAACTTTGATGTCTTTTTGAGTGTTTGCCATGTATAAAGGTAAAAATAGTTGCCACAATCAAAGATCTGTCAAATCCTAAGAGCATGTTGTTTCAGAGGTTTTCACGTTCAGTGTGACTGCTCTGTCTACTTTTGAACTCTTGTGTCAGTGTGTGAGGGTGTGTATGTGAATAGGTTTGTATGTGCGTGTGTGATTATCTGTTTATGTGTTTACATGCTGTTAGGTCTCCCAAGTTCTTCCTGCTAACAGGTTTGGGAACTAAAATAAAGGGACTTAAAAAGATTGCTGTAAAGCACAATATCTAAGTCTACAAGTGTGTGTGTGAATATATGAGAGACATTATGTGTGTGATTGTATCACTGCATGTGTCCCTGGTTCTTGATATATGATCCTTATAGACTGAAATTCTACTGAATAATGTGATAGATGAAATTTGTTCCAGAGGCCTTCTCCAGCAGAGCATATTGAGATCGAGATGTATGTCATATTGCAGAGTAAATCAATAAATTAAAATCATATCTGAGCAGTTGTGTTATTGGTGCTATTTGATGTAATATTCTCATACCTATGACATTTCTTTTAAAAATCATATTATGTTTTATTCATCTTTTAATACATTTGATATTATAAATTCAACGTAGTAATTTGAAATGAATTTAATTTAATTTTACATTACAAAACTCTGCGTATTCCAATACTGTCCAGTTCTTTAAAACGCACATTTGCTATGAATACATTTTATGTAGTTTTATGTTGGAATAGTTTACACAAGAATTACAGTTCTTGTATTGATTATTCACAGTTATTTATTTTTAATTACATTTGAATTGTATTTTAGGGTTAAAGGAAATGTCTGTAAAATTAATGCATAATGTTCTGGTAGATAACGGATAAGAGATAAGGTTTTTTCTTATAGTGCAGGTTTTTAATCACATTCAAATATAATATAATTTCCTTTGATATTCTTTTGTTATCTGATGCAAACCATCACAAAATTTGGTTCAATACCATTTTAATAGCTCAGTTTGGAATTATGTTTAAAAATATGATGAAGACACAAATGTAACTGGAGGGACAAAAGTATTTTTGTACTGGATTTCGATAATTGAAATATCAAAAATTGACACTGAAATAGTAAATTAACACGTTATGCTTTTATTAAAATTCATAGCTGACACACTTTCACAACAAAATCATGACCAAGGCCAAAATTATAAGTGGGGAATTTGTACTCGTTTGTACTTCTGGGATCCTTTGTACTTCTGCTACTATCATGTAAAGAAAAGTACTGCACAGGGACTGTTGACAATGCACACATTCCAAAAAAATTCACTCACACGTAGAACAAAACAAAAAGTCTTCATAACAGCTGAAAGACAAAAAGATCAGAAAAGACGAGCAGCTGAGATAACTATTGAATGAAATCTTAAGCTACAATTTGTCATTGTCACTACATCATCATAAACAATAATTATTCACATTTCAGATCAAAACTTTGCTGAACTGTCCACACATTTTGGTTTAATTATACATGTTGCTTTTGCATTCTAAGTGACAAATTTCAGTAAGCCTGCAGAATATATTTTCATTTAAACAGCTGAAGAAGTTATCGGTAGTTGTAGCTCTCATCGTCATATTCTAACTCATCCTCCTGCTCGTCTCCCAGCTGCCCATATCTGAATTTGCGATACACAGTGCCGTCCTGTCCCATGTACACAATATCTTCGTCTTCGTCATCTTCATCGTCATCATCCCGATTCCCCTTCTGATCACCGAGGTCCACCAGCTGCGACTCACGGAACCGTCCAGAACTAGAGCTTGCTTGACCACCGTAGGCAGAGGTGGATGATGATGTGCCTCTGTAGAAGCTGTCTCTGCCGCCACCGTTGCCCAGTTTTTCATACCCACGCGGGACAGCAGGCTCAGGCATGGGTCGTTTGGAAAGAGAACGCTTAATGAGGATGATTACAGCAATCAAGGCCAAAACAAGCAGGATGGAGGCGGTGATGAAGAGTGGCAGGTTTCCTGTATATTCCTCTTCTTCATGATTACGGAAGGCAAAGTTAGTGCTGAGGACACACTCACCTTTAATAGAAATAAAAGTTTATTCTAAAGCCTCGCACAAAGAATAAAGACAGGACAACTATTATTAGTTCACCCACAAATAAAAATCCAAGCCAGGCTCATTGGGGAAAAAAAAAAAACATGCAAATTTTCTGCAAAATATTACTATGCATTTTGCAACACTTTTAAAGTGAAATGTCCAGTGAGTGGTAGTAAAAGCATGTTCAGTTTTATTCTAAACTTATAAGCATCAATCTGGCAAAATTGTATTACTTTGCATTTCCGAACTCTCGTGACATACAGCAATCAATGTCTGGCGAGTGGTGCTGAAAGGTTTATGTTCTCACGATTAAAAATAACGTACTACCTACAATAAACACTACCATAAACCTAACCGATAGTTTAAAAAAAGTGAGGGGAAAGCATGCTTTCTGTAGCAACCATGCCATTTTAGCTTGCTTCTACAAGCCTTTGAGCTCTTTTATCATGACTCGAGGGACTGCAGTGTGGTACCGGGTGCGCTACTGAGCAAGTTTACTACATCAGCAAAGCCATACATATGGAGCTTGTTATGTGATGCATATGACAAAATGTATTAGTTTACAAATTATGCACCATGATAAAAGTGTTCTGAGGTCAGAACATTGCAGGGATTTGTGCAAAGGGCTTATTTTGATTGTTTTATCGGGGGCTTGCATAAAAGACCAATAAGAGACTAATAAATACTACTCTTTGTTTTTAGTAAACAAATGTGGCAATAAAAATATCTACAAATTCATAAAACTGATCTGAGATTAGGTAAAAACCTGTGCCTTTGGCACTTTGAAAGGTGCTTCTAACCACACAAACTATTTGCAAAGGTTTTGACGCTTCACAAAGCAGTGTTATGAATCACTAGGTAGAGGCATGTTTTCCACTGAGCCTATGTTGTCAATTATGTCACTGATCAACCTGTTAGTGCAGGTAATATTTTGAAGAAGAATTGTCACTTAGTCACAATACCTCTGGTTTCAGTACAGTTACAGCACTCCTGCTGAACTTCAGCGGTGTCTTCCTGTTTTTCGTTGGTGCAGCAGGGCAGACAGCGCCCCTCTGCGGTCAGAATGAACTGTGCTGGGCAGATGGTGCAGTTATGAGGCCCAGGACCTTTGCATTCTAAACAGGACTTATCACATGACACACACTTAAAGCCCTGTTCCTGTAGAGAGATCACAACAGATATCAGGTGACAACATTCATAAAAAAAAGGGGTCAAAGTTGATCAGGAAGTAAACATGTTTGAATAGACTGCACAGGAACAGAGGTTTACCTCAGGCTCAGCATATTCTCCAGTGATACAGAGTGACTCACAAACACCCTGTGTGAGTGTATAACCTGGGTGACATGAGTCACAATCCTCAACACTCTTGCCTGTAAATTTAAATGACATTCCAGCATTTTAGGCTTAAATTATTGAATGGTTAAAAATAGAATTTTAAAGTGTTATATAAAATAGTTATATGCATAAACCATTTAAAAGTTGATTTAATTCCTGAAGAAAATGGCAGGTCAACCTGTAATCACCCCCTTGTAAAAAAAACAAAAAAACTTTAGCATACTTTTAAAACTGCTTTTTATGGAAATAATATACTTGAATGGTTAGAACGTGGTTGGGTGCAAATTGAATGTGATGTTTTCTGACACTTAACTGCATGTAATATATTAAATGGAATTAGTTGAACTTAAAAAGTACTTGAGTTGAAATTACGATGTGTAAGAACTAAATTGTGTTTAAATTATGTCAGAAAACCCCAAGTATCAGTGAGAAAATATGTTGGACACAGTGGATGCAGCGACTATATTAACAGTAATTTTTTTTTTTTTTTTTTTTTTTT